ATTCCTGCTCGCAGAACACGGCCTGGAAGCTGTGCTCATCATTTGTGTGAAGCTTCTTGTCAGATGCTTTCAAGAAAGACAAAGAATCTTAAATGCTTCAATTTTCATACTTAACAGACCACACTTGTGCTGACAGTACCTGCTGGCAATAACATCTCAGATGGCAACAGGAAAAAAACCACAAAAAACCCAGAAGAATGCTTTGCCAAAACAGGCTGGACAGACTTTAAAAACATGCTGGAAGAGGTAAAGGTAATTTGGGTGAGTATGCAGGTGATATCATTCTGTCCCTCAGCGGGGATTCACTCCCAGCACTGCGATGTAGCTATGGCAGTACACTGTACTTGTGGGATACTGATGTATTTATGCGTCTTCTAAAAGTCTTCAAACCAGTCCCTTTGCTTATAATTAAAGAATTTGTGTGGTTTTTTATTTTGTGCCTGCCTGTTCGGTTCTGCAGTGAACTCACCCCAGAGATGTGAGCTCCTGACATCTCAGTGTCCTCTGTCCGTGTTTGCAGGAAGCAGAGGGACCCGGTTGGCATTCCCACACACCTGGACTTTTCTAGGGCTACAGACGTTCCTCATCCCTGAGCTCTTGCCCATTGAATTTCTTCCTCTTCGGGCTGTCAGTCCTGAAAAGATTCATCAGTGAGATGAGCAAGCAGGATCACAGAAGGTCTGGACGACAAGGGTCATTTCTGGGGCCATCCTGCCCGGTCCCTGCAGTACGTGGTGCCTCACTGCAGCTCCGGCTCCCCGTGCCTTGCCCCGTTGCACAGTGCCATCTCCTGGAAAGCCGTGCCTGAGCTGCACACATCACAACCAGGGGTTTGCTCCTGAAGCAGCTGCAAAGTTCATCTTCTGACCCACCACGAGTCCCCCACCAAGCTTCTCTTCCTCCAGCAGGTACGAAGGATGCCGCTCACCGCCCGGCCGCTCGCCCTCACCTCCGAGGTACCCTGTGGCAGAACATCCCTGCGCGGCTCTTTCCCGCTCTGGATGCTGAATACAAGTCTCTAGGTACAAAAAGAACAGTAGAGGAGCACAAATGAACATCTGTAGATGTTACTCCTTAGCTCTTGTTCTGTGTGGGCACCAGTTCCCTGTTCAGTTGAGTGCCCTGTGTATATGTTCACCCTGTAAGTGCCCTGTTTACCTGTTTCTCCTGGTTTTGACTTTAAGGGACACTTTTCTCTGTCCCTCCCCAAGTTTGATGACCTCACCATGTGCAATAACCGAGCCCCTCATCACAGTGCTCACCCTGTATTTAAAATGTTGCTACATCTTTTTAATGAGACAAAAATGTGTACACGGAACTTGCACCTGAATGCTGCTGGCTTGACTAAGCTCTATATTTACCCTGAAAAATACAAGAAAAATGGGTGGTTCCAAGGGCAACACATTTACTCCTATGAAACAGTAACACACCTTAAGTGCTTAGTCACTGAAAAAATGCACACTGCAATTTAAAGCCAAAGGCCTGTATTTCATCCATCATTTTAGCCTATTGTGGCATCTTCTGAGCAGTTGGGAGATTAGTATACTTTGGTAATCTGTCATACACAATGAAATAACTAGTGCTCCAAGGTAAGGCTGTAAAAGCTGTTATTTGGGAAAAAAAAAGGCCATAATTATGTAAATACAAGGCCACAAAGTTCATGAACAAGAGAAAAAGCTACCACGACACATGGCTGTTCACAGCTTGCTTTGGCCCTTTCTCAGCAAGGAGGCTGTGTTGCAAACTTGTCATGAACTCATTTTTGCCCTGGAGAGTGCCGATGAACTGAAACAGCCTGTTTACCAAAACCACGTTTTTTATTAAAATGCGTATTTGTAAAGGAGAGATCGTTACACAAATGAGGTAAACCAACACATATGACATAGTTTTCACTTTAAAAATAAATTTCAGTTGAGCAATTGATTTGATTCCACGAAGTCTGAGAGGAAGAGTCAGGCGAGTGTTACTCATGTGGTGAGATGCCGGACAAGGTGGGAAGACACAGCTGATGCCGCCCTGACTCAGCCCTGGTGTCAGTGCCAAAGGGCCGGGAGTCTTCCAGGGGCCAAACCCTTCGCACCGTGCTGTCCTCTCCTCCCCCATCAGACTTGCAGACAAGAGGAGATGAGTAAAGGCCAGAGACAGACAGCGTAGCCTCTTCACCTACTGCTCTAACCAGGGGTCCCCCATCAGCATCCCCCACTAAAAGGCTGTGTAAAGATTTAATTTGATTGTGCAAATTCACTCCCTCATCAGTTGTTGCTCACCACATCTCAGCCCTAAAGGAGACTTAACAGCAAGCAAATACCAGCTCTGAAAAAGTTCCATTTCAAAAGTAGTATCTGGCAAGCAATAAGCCCATTAAATGTGACACACTTTGCAAGGTACGGGGAGAAGATTTATGCTTCCTTCTTTTTCCTTTTTTTTTTTTAAATTTGCTTCCATGCATGTACAAGTGGAGCTTTTAATCGAAAAGTTTACGAAGTTACTGCAAGTCTGTGAGAATCACGTTCACCATCCTGTGAAATTAATTCATCCTCAATTTCTCATTGAGGACCAAGCCCCACAGCCTGAACACCTCAAAGAAAAGTGGCTGCAAATGTTGTTTTACCCTGTATAACAGTAAGAAAACAGTGAGGTGAACCTCAGACCCGTTTCTCAGAATGCCACTCAAAGCCAGCTAGCAGACTGACAAAGAACAGCTGTACTCGCTTCCAGCTCCTAACAAGTACAGAACAAATACCACCACCACCAGCAGAACCAAATAATGCTCCAAAATTCACTCAATTAAATCAGTGGCTGACAAACTCCTAAATGTTGGGAATTACTGTGTGGCTGAAGATCTGCAGTCCAGGTCCACTTTGATGGATCAAGGTATTATGGAGGTGACAAACTATGCAGATGAGACAGAGATGGAGTTTCACCTGTTACACCCGAGTGAAACTCATCCAGGCCCTTGTGTAACAACTACACTGAGACAGGGAATACATTGCTTCCGATATGTATCCCAGGACAGTTTCTGGTAACCAAACCACGAAATTTTCATCACATCTGCCAAGTTTATAGTGAAATTTAATGACTGCGCACAGGTAGAACATGAGGTGAATGCACTATTTTAATCCCATTTATATCCTCAGGGGACATGGGTGGGATTTAAACTGCATGTAGGTTTGGTGCTGGTCTGCATGGGCTGGATGTCACGCTCCAAGAGCAGTATCTGTAACTCTCGGTGCAGAGAGAAGGTTGTACCACATCTGGTACCACGTTTCCAGTAAATGCTTTCAGCAAGAGACAGAAATGCATTCACTACCGTGCACTACAGTTTATGATAACTGTACCTTGGCAGCTGCAGTACTGTGATATTGCAACAGGACTCTCCACGTTCAAAGTCAGTTAAAGGCTATAGATCTTGAGAGAGAAAAAAAGAGAGAGGTGTCATACTTCGGGGAGTTTTTTTCCAAACAGAAATAAAAAAATAACCGTCTTTTTTTTAATAAATCTATTGTTTTAGGAACTAAAGCAACCAATATTAAGTTCCTGGTTTATTACACATCCTGCTATGGCTCTGTACGATGAGTCTGAAAAAGCAGATTAGCACAAGATTAGCAGAGAAAGCAAGCTGTTTAGGCTCAGCAGGACTCCAAGGTGAGCCATTTCATGTTGACAAGAGCTAGCACCCCTTGCTCCCTGTGTCCACTGGCAGCACGGGCAGGTTTTTTCCCCAAGAAAGACATCCCATCACTGTTTCTTTCATTGGATCATTCCATCTTGCTGCCCCGTCTGGCTGGGGTCAGCAGTGACCGACGGACTGGGTGTATTGCTTTGCAAAAATCGACGGAAGTCCTTAATCATGGGGCGGAGGACCTGGATGAGGGCACTCAGTGCTGCCTGTGTTCCTTCCATGGCTTGTGCCTGTCGCTCCTGGGCGCATGCCTGCACCTCCTGAGAGCGACGAATCATCTGAAGCAAGTCATTCTGCTGCTCCAGGTGCTGGGCAATCTCCTTCACGTGCAAGTTGGTCACTCGCTGCTCCTGTAAGAGCTTGGCTGAGTTCAGAGCAATTCGGCTTTTCAGCTCCTGGGGTTTCGCAGACACTTCGTGTTGATGTGCCATCATCTCCAAGGGTGCTTCGGCGGTGACTGTGGTGGGGGCTTCTGTTGTGCAGTACTCCACAACTCCATCCTCCAGACTGTGGTAGGTTGTCTCTGCAGGAACTGAGAACAAAGGACAGAAAGGGGGTAAGAAGTAGCTGCGATACGGGGATTTTTATCTACAGGACTATTCAATGAATATCACAGGAATACTGCCTGTTCAGTGAGATAACATACAATGAACAGCAATGCACAAAATGACCTATTTAAGTCTACTCCACCCTCATTCGAGCCTCCTAGTAGGCTGCACAGTCCAAAGGAATAGGGCATGCCTTATCTGTCTAGACAAAATAATTTCTCAACCTCCAGTTCAGAACAATCTTTCCAAGCGGCATTAACCAACTGACATACGGGCAAAGACCCAGAATGGCACTTGTCAGAAGGACAGCTGCTTTTGGGGTAGACTGGGAAATAAGCCTTGTAGATGTTTCTCCCCCTGCTTTTGTTCCCAGAGAAGGGGACTGAACAATCTGCAAAGGATACTGGCTTCCCTTGTTCTTAAGGCCAAGCCCAGCTATGAAAGCTGACTTTCAGTATGTGCGTATCTTGCAGCCACTCCCCTATAGCATGAGGACATATTGGGAACAGCGTTTTCATTACAGAGTTGCAGGGGTTTCTTTTTGCTGGGGCTTTCCCCCACACAGGGCTCAGGGCCTCCTCACAGGCAGGTGTCTGGGCCCCCCGTATGACCTTCCAATTCAGCACAGAGCATCTTCAGCAGGCGCAGCACTCACTCTGGGTCAGGGTGACCGTAGTGGCTGATGCGGTGATGGGTATCTCGGTCCCGTCACCTGCACTGCAGTCCCCACTTGGCAAACTGATGATGGTGGCTTCTCCGAGCAGGTTGCAGATGCGTTGCTGCATGGGGGTGAGGATGACAGGGGTGGTTGCGGTGCCCGTTGGGTCTTCGCTCTCCGGCCCGTTGCCGTTGCCGTTCTGGCTCTCGCCTCCCCCTTCCATGGCAGCCCGGACTTGGGCCACTTTGCGTCGCACCTCGGTCTTGAGGTCGGACCATTTCTTCTTGACCTCGGGCAGCTCGCGGTGGCAGGTGGCAACGGCATTGACACGGCGCAGGATGTCGTGCCAGGCGGCGGCCTTGGCGGCCAGGGGCACACCCGCATTGAAGTGGTTGATGAGGAGGTGCTTGCCTCGCTCCAGCTCCTCCACGATGATCTCCACCTCTCGCTCCGAGAAGTT